GGGAAAGGGAAATGTGTACTTCCTTAAATAAATATTTATATGTGTTTTTAGTATTTCTGAGTATTTTATTTTTCAAGCAGAAGCTTGACTTTTTTTATAACCATCGTTTAGTACTATGGAAAGTGTACATAGTTGTTTTGGCTGGATGGAGCAAAGCAGCGGGTTAAATTTTAGCACATTTAGTAGCACAGAGATCTCTCTTCTGTGAAAGACAGGATTGTATTATGTAACAGTCAGGCTGCCAAATACTTCTGCTGGCAGCGGTCAGCCTTCTATGCACCATTGACATCAAAACCTAATGAGGTTTGATCCAGAGAAGAGATTTGAAAGGACGTCTTGTTTTTCTTCAGTCTTCACTAACTGAACTTGTTTAAAAAGGGGAAGGAAAAAAAAAAAAGATACAGAGTCTTGTTTGATAAATGAGGAAAAATAGTGATTTTTCTCCAAAGTTTTGACTGTTTATTGGTTTAACAGCTATTGCTCAGAACAAGTTGTTTCTCTTTAAGGTGTTTGTCATATCAACTAATCTTGTGTGATGGATCGAGGGGACTGGAGGTTGGGCCTGCATGTGTTCCCTTCATAGGGGCTTTCTGACAGCTTACCTTAGTGTCTCCTGTGCCTAATATTTATACATAGTCATACTGACCGTTCGGTAAACCTAGGACCAAACAAATGTCCCACTCCCTATAAAGTGCATGCTAAATAAAATATACCAGCAAGTAAGTGGGGACAAGAAACACAGGAGCATAAGAGTGTGCAGGGGTGCCCAGCTCCATGAAGGCTGCATGCTGCTAGAAGCAATATAGCGTGATGCTGTGCCAAAGTTAATAAGATCTTGCTGAAAATCAGGTCTTACTAGTTTACCTGAAAATGTAAGGGATATACTACTGGGTGAGAGCAAAGGTTTATCTGGCCTGACATCCCCTCTGGCAATGACTGGTAGCAAAGGCTGAAAGGAAGAGATCTGGGAGCAGGCCATCACTTGTGTGTAACCACTGTCTAAATCATTGTCTAAATCATTGTCTAAATTGTCATTTGAACCATTGTCAAACCACTGTTTAGGACTTGTGGGTGATGTGGTGGTTGGAGGCCATTTTGGATATAGTGATCATGAAATAGCAGCGTTCCCTTCCTTCCTCATTGCCTCTTTGCTGTCAGAAAAAATCAGGCCTCCCAGGTTCCCCTGCCTTCCTCAGAGAGGACAGCTGCTCCCGACTTTCAGAAACCAACTTTCATGCTGCATTAAGGCCTGCCAGAAAGGCGCTTGATTCATGCACCCTAAGACCTTCTGTGGTTTGCCTGAAGAGCAGAGGGTTGCTCAAACCTGTATGGCTACCGCAGGGGATCTCCTTCGTGCTTTGGTCACCATTATTCTCTGATTCAGCTTGCTAGCTCTCCGTCAGCTTCCACAGAGCTGTTGAGCAGTCGTTTTGTGACCAGAGCTTTTCTCCTTCTATGACCAGGTGACCCGCCTAGTGGACGGGGGAAAGGCTGTGGATGTTATCTACCTGGACTCTAGTAAGGCCTTTGACGCTGTTCCCCACAGAATCCTCCTAGAGAAACTAGCTGCCCATGGTTTGGGTGGGTATACTCTTCGCTGCATAACGAACTGGCTAAATGTGCAGAGAGTGGTGGTGAATGGAGTTAAATCCAGCTGGTGGCTGTTCACATGTGGTGTCCCCCAGGGCTAAGTTTTGGGTCCTGTCTTGTTTAACATCCTTATCAATGATCTGGATGAGTGGATTGAGTGCTCCCTCAGTAAGTTTGCAGATGACACCAAGTTGTCCAGGAGTGTCAATCTTCTTGAGGGTAGGAAGGCTCTGCAGAGGGATCTGGACAGAGTGGATCGATGGGCCGAGGCCAACTGTGTGAGTTGCAACAATGCCAAAAGCTGGGTCCTGCACTTTGGTCACAACAACTCCATGCAACACTACAGGCTTGGGGAGGAGTGGCAGGAAAGCTGCCTGGCAGAAAAGGACCTTGGGGTGTTAAGCTGGCTGAACGTGAGCCAGCAGTGTGCCCAGGTGGCTAAGAAGGCCAGTGGCATCCCGGCTTGTATCAGGAATGGTGTGGGCAGCAGGAGTAGGGAGGTGATCGTGCCCTTGTACTTGGCACTGGTGAGGCCACACCTGGAGTACTGAGTTCAGTTTTGGGCCCCTCACTACAAGAAGGACATTGAG